ATAGACGCCTGGTAGTCCAATGACCCAGGGACAAAGAGGAGAACTTGGGGGGCAGGGCGGGGACGAATAGAACACAGGATACCCTGCTGCAAAAGCTGAAGGTGCATGTGCTCCCTTTAGGGGTGGGGGGTGGGTCCTGGTAGGCAGGCACTCACCTCTCTGGGTGGGTCGCCTTAGTGTAGGAGCAGAAAACTGTTCCTGAGCAAAGGACCTAGCAGATAATGCAGGCTTGTGGGTGTGGGGGGGTCAGGTGTAAGAAAGACAGCCCTGCAGAAGGAGCTGGGGGAGGGGGGCCTGTGCTCTCTTCCGGGATAATCCGCCCCTGGAAAGCACACCCTCACCGGTTCAGATGGAACTCCTCAGTACCTAAACAGGGCCGCAGACCCCATTCTTCTTACATATATGGTACCATGACTCTCTCCTTCCTGTGACTCAATAGCGAGTTCCCTTGCTTGACTTGCACTGACCAGGCTTTTTCATCGGGGGTTCTCTCTGCTGTGAATATAGGGGTGCAGTGTTTATATCCAGAGTTGGCAAGGAACTCTTATTTGTCAAAACAATACAGCTTCCTCAGATCTTTCCTGAATTCCATCGAGCAGTTCTCGGAGAGGACTAAGTTTTCTCATCCCTTCTACGACTCTGCTCAGCTCAAAGCCACCCAGCTGAGTGCAGTGGGAGATCCCGCTTCTGCCAGCTTCCTCTGCTCAGGTCTAGGAAGAGAGCAACCAGCAGAGTGAAGTCAGGTGACTTTGCAGTCCTGTATCTCTGCTGCCTCCTGTGTGTGAGTGAGTGTGCACGTGGGAGTCGACTATGTTGGATGTCTTCCTTGATTCCTTTCCAACTCACTTTTGAGACAGTGTCTCACTGAATGTGGAACTCACTAACTGGACTAGGCTGGCTGGTCAAGGGGCTCCATGGCTGTGCCTCCTGGTCAAACTGGGGTCACTAAAGTGTACCACTCTTCACAGTCCTTTACGTGAGTGCTGGAGATCAAAACTCAGGCCATGGCGCTTTCACAGCAGGCAACATCAACAGCAGAGCCATGTTCCCAGTCCTAATAGCTAAAACTAGACGAGCCTTTGCTAACACTCTATACCTACCATCTTTTTAAAATGTAAACATTCTGGGGAGTTGTGATGACTGGTTTTATGTCAACTTGACATAAGCTAGATTTATCTGAAAAAAGGAACTGAAATTGAGAAAATACCTCCATAAGATTCAGCTAGAAGGAATTTTCTTAATTAGTGATTGATAGGACAGGGGCCAGTCTATTTTAGGTGGTGCTATCCCTGGGCTGATGGTCCTGGGTTCTATAAAAACCAGACTGAGTAAGCTATGAGGAGCAAACCAGTAAGCAAACCTCCAGGGTCTCTGTATCAGTTTCTGCCTCCAGGTTTTCTGCCTTGAGTTTTTGTCCTGACATCTTTCAATGATGGACCACAATGTGGAAGTTTAAGCCAAACATACCCAGTTCCTCCTGACATGCTTTGGGTCATGGTTTCATCGCAGCAATCGAAACCCTACGTAGGACAATTGCCCAGGTGGCTCATCAGGTCAGGGTGCTTGCCACCAAGCCGGATAATGTGACTTTGATCTCCAGACCCAAGTGATGGAAGGAGAGAGCTGACTCCCACACGCTGTCTCTCTGACTGTCCAAACTGTCACATGTACCCCCACCCCAACACACACACATATAAGTTAATTCAATGTGTTTTTAAGTAGTCAGGCTGGTGAAGATTGTCTTTACACGTATCTGAACGCTGAAAACACATATCTTTTTGGGAACACCATGCATGTAACAGGAATCAGTTGTCACACGTGACACAAACTGCATAGAAGAGATAGACGGTATACACCTATTTGTGACATCTAGAATAATTCAGCGTGGTCAAAGAAAGCATCTGCCTGATATGGATTTCACTAGAGGATTTTTGTTGTTGTTTGGTTGAGTTTTTATTTTTTGCCACTCTCTTGCAGTGAACGTATTAATGTGCTTCCACTGTGGGAGGAAAGATAAACGTTTTAGAATGTATCCTTTATCTTCGTAACAGAAAAACAGAAGAGGTGTACAAAGTTCACCCGGGGCCTGAGCTCCTCCCTGTGACGCGCCTGCCACCCTCGGCTCCTAGACAGCTTCTCAAACACACCGGTGTGATGAAACTCCTCTGAACCGTTAGTCACTCTCGGAGGTAAAACCCACGCAGGAGTTTCTAGACTCCACAGCCCACTTCTGAGAAATGAACCTCACGCCTAGACAAGCCATTGGCTTTTTTGTCCCAGGGTGCCGTAGTTTAGCTGCTTGCCCAACAAGGATCCACATACACTCGTCTGGCTAGCATATTCTTTGAGCCCATCTCTTGTTTTGATTTTAGCACACGGTGCAGTTAATGAGGAAGAATATTCAAATCCCCATCTCTGTCTCCTCAGCAAGCTGAAATCCTAACTGATGGAGAAGCCACAGGGCCCTTCTTCCTACACAGTGTGACTCATACCCTAGCCCTCTCTGGTTTCCTGCTCTTCCTCCTTCTCTTGAACATACTATGGCTTATGCATCAGTCTTTCCTCCCTAAGTTCAAGTTATTGGTTTTATTTTTTTTATCACTGCCATTCTTTAAAATGAGTTTTCCACCTTCTGAAGGAACCCCCCTGGATTCCAGCTCATGTTGCCAGGACTGTTAACCCTGGTTGCTCCCGAGATCCGCTTGCTGACCCTGGAGTGCTCCAGTGCTTCAAATAGCACTCAGCCATTACGTTCTTCATTGCCTGTCCCTGTGCTGCTGGCTTTTCTGCACTCGGTGGCTTGTTCAGGAGGAAGCCAGTCTCCCAGACTTCCTATCACTCACTCTAGAAACATCTTCGGCAAGCAAAAGAGGAGGTGACTTCTTCCTGCTCTCTTCCATCAGGAGGTGACTTACTCTTATGTGCTTCCATGAGGAGGTGACTTACTCCTGATGCTTCCATGAGGAGGTGACTTACTCCTGTGCTCTTCCATCCTAAAATTGTCTTACTTTAAATATTTAATCCATGAGATAGATGTGTTAGAGAAGAGAAAGGTAGGTTATTTTGAAAACAAAGAATGAGATCCCATCTATCTCAGGATCAGGTTGAATCATTATTGTTTTAACTTAGTGTAAACATCACAGGATTATTTTTCTGAGATGTAATTCAGCTACATCTGCATAATAATGGCGTTAAAAATAACTGAAACCGCTTCTTTTCCTTGTTGGCTAAGTGTAGGTTTTTAATTCCACTTATTGTGTTTTTCTCTCTCTCCCACCTGTACTTCGTCTTCAGATTGAATCTACAGCTTACAGTGAGAGACAAGCTATTCATTTAAAACACCACTAAAATCGGCGCTTCTGGACTCAAATTAGCAATGCAGCATGGGAGGGGAGAGAGGTGTAGGCTTTGAGGAGAGGGATGCTTATTATCTAATAAATATGGTTGTGGATTCTATATGTTGACATTCTAATATACCAAGTTAGTAAGTACCTTGAAACAGAGCCTTTATGGTATAGTATAAACATGAAAAGGAAATAGTGAAGACAGCAGACAGTGATTATAGATGTCTTTGGAATCACTTGGGCCAGTTTTGACAGCTTTATCTTGTTTCTTGTTGGTAGGGATTCCCGGGCCCAAGAATCATCCCTGCTTCAGGCTATGCAATAGGGTAAAGTATAGGCTTGTGACACTGTGCCTGGCTTGGTTATGATGTTCTAACTTCCATTAACTTCTAGTGATTTCCTATAAGGCCCCTCCATACTGGAATAAAATGATTGAGGTTGTGTACAATGCCTACATGGGTTTACTTATATTGTAAAGGTACTGTGGCCGAGGGGCTTCCTGATGGATTGGCTAAATCACAATATTTTATTGGAAATGTGTTTGGGGAGAATTTTTGTCATTAATCAGAAATTAAAAAAAAAGAAACCCAAAGTACTAGAATGTACTCAAATGACCTGTTAAACCCTCACCTGGCATTTCACATAAACCAGTTATCAAACTCGACCTAATTTCTTGGTGGCCATAATATATAGTCTTACAGAACCTAATGTGAATATGGAAAACTGGGATGGTTATACCTTCCTCTACTGTGAAAGGAATGAAACCTGCCCTTTGCGTTTTGCAACTTCCCGTTTGACAAATCTCCATTCCTTCAGTGTTCCCAGCACCCACACCTCCTCTGATAGGAAAATAAATTCTGTAGAACCCTCCTCTTGGTTTCTTAGGGCACTTGTTTAGAATTCAGGACACCTCGTATGGCTCTTTCCAGTGTGCATTGGCCTCGGGATGCAGGAGGAGAGAGACCGTTATGGTGGCTGCTATGTGTGCAAACCCTGTCTGTCATCAGGGCGCCTGACATCCTCTGGCCTGGTGGTCTTGGCGTAGCTGGGGACCCAAGCGGGGTACAAGAGCTGTCCTGACTTCAGGGGGCTGATGTTTGCTCCTGACATCCCCACCCCGTCGGACCGGAAACCAGAGGACCCCAGGTTTCCTCAGCATGTGTCTGCTGCTTTTCCTTTCTTGGAACTCCTAGAGTCAACACTAAGGGGCACCAGAGCCTTGGACTGCAACGCCAGCCTGGAGGGCGCTGCGGAAGTCCTGGCACAGAAGAGCCCACCCGGTGGGCCCCGGAGGCAAGCACAGTATGCGGGTGCCCTAGGGTCCTCGGGGTCTGCTGGAGAATTCCTCAGAGATGAGACTCCTTGAGCATTACGCTGGAGGGGCGCACTGCACTGATGGTGCTTCCCCAGGGCTGGGGAGACCTCTGTCGCCGCTTACTTTGGAGGAGGAAATATGGTCAGACATGGAGTGTAGTGTGGTCATAGCTGCAGCGCACACGCGGTGCTGGGGAACAGCACCATGCAGTCAGACATACAGACACAAGCACCCCGCGTCCTTTCCGACCCATAAAACCAATCTGGGACACAAATGAACGCGGTGGAGCTGTCTAGGGACCCAAAGAACGGTCAGACTGAGCCTGCAAAGTCACCTCGTCCCTCCTCTTGTCAACCTACTCTTTTCTGTAGACTGTCTAGTGAGGGAAATTGTGTTCACCACTGGTCCCCAACAGGAACCTCTTAGCCACCCTCCCGTGGGTGGCTCGGACTTGTCCCCTGAACTGCGGGGTATTGAGAAGCTGGACACCTGGGACAGCAGTGTTGGCCACTCAGCCCGCGTCCTGACACCGAAATAAAAAAAGTGGGGAGGGTCGGCAAGCCGAGGGCAAGAGCCTCGGTGCACTGGGCCCGGAGGGGGCGGCGGATAGCTGCTCCCCAAGCCGCCGCCCGGCGCGTCCTCGTCCTCCTCCCCGGGCCGAGCCGCCGCCACTGCACCAGGATGAAGAGACCTCAGGGCGGGAGGAGATGACGCAAAATCCAACGCTCCCCCCCAAAAAGTGTGCCTCCAGGACGAAGATGGCGGCAACTTAGCCTGGGGACTGAAGATGACTGTGGCCTCCGGAGGCCCAGCGCAGGTGACTCGGCCCCCGGCGGCGCCCGCGGGCAGACCTGCAGCGGCCGCGGCGACAGTCGGAGCGCGGGGTGGGGGGTGGGGGGGAGGGACATTTTCGCCGGCGGCCGCCCAGGCTCGGGGCGCGGGGAGAGCCAGCGCGAAGTAGGCGCGGGAGGCGGAGGAGAAGCCAGCGACGGAGAGGAAGGAGGAGGAAGAGGAGGAGAAGAGGAGGAGGAGGAGAGGAGGAGGGGAGGCGCTCCGGTCGCCGTCAGTGGGCAGCGGAGACGCGGCATGCCCCTGGCAGGGGAGAGCGGGCTGTCCTCAGCTGGGCCATGGGGACCAGCGCGCTGACAATGCCGGGGTGACAGGAGCAGCGCCAGCCACCCCGCCACCTCCACCACCATCACCTCCCGCACTCAGCCTCCCCACCGGCCAGCACAGCACCAGCCTCCGCGTCTCTCTCTGAATCTCTCTCTCTCTCTCTCTCTCTCTCTCTCTCTCTCTCTCCATTATTGTCTCCCACTCTCCAGGGGATGGGGTCGGCTGATGATTAGATCGGAAGCAATATCTTTCTCTAAAGTATGGTAATATTTATGTAGAGAGAGAGAGAGAGAGAGAGAGAGAGAGAGAGAGAGAAGAAACGGGAGGAGGGGATACGGAAATTAAACCCTTTAAGTCAATGCATGTTGTGGTGACACCGGCACAGGAGCCCTCACGGTGGAGTCGGCCAGGGCTGTGCGTTCCCAAAATATGACCAGGGGTGCTTGGATGTGTCGGCAGTATGACGACGGCTTAAAAATCTGGTTGGCAGCACCCCGGGAGAACGAGAAACCGTTCATCGATTCAGAGCGGGCTCAGAAATGGCGACTGTCTCTGGCCTCTCTCTTGTTTTTCACAGTCCTGCTCTCTGATCACTTGTGGTTCTGCGCCGAGGCCAAGCTGACCCGGACCCGGGACAAAGAGCATCACCAACAGCAGCAGCAGCAACAGCAGCAGCAGCAGCAACAGCAGCAGCAACAGCAGCAGCAACAGCAGCAGCAACAGCAGCAGCAGCAGCGACAGCAGCAGCGGCAGCGGCAGCAGCAGAGGCAGCGACAGCAGGAACCCTCCTGGCCCGCGCTCCTGGCCAGCATGGGGGAGTCCTCGCCCGCCGCCCAGGCACACAGACTCCTCTCCGCCTCCTCGTCCCCCACCCTGCCCCCCTCCCCGGGAGGCGGCGGCGGCGGCAGCAGCAAGGGCAACCGAGGCAAGAACAACCGGAGCAAGGCTCTTTTTCTAGGAAACTCTGCCAAGCCGGTGTGGCGCCTGGAGACTTGTTACCCTCAGGGCGCCTCCTCCGGCCAGTGCTTCACGGTGGAGAGCGCGGACTCCGTGTGCGCCAGGAACTGGAGTCGGGGGGCTGCCTCGGGGGAGGAGCAGTCGTCCAGGGGCTCTAGGCCAACTCCGTTGTGGAACTTGTCGGATTTTTACCTTTCGTTTTGTAATTCCTACACACTTTGGGAGTTGTTCTCGGGGCGGTCCAGCCCCAGCACTTTGAACTGCAGTTTGGATGTGGTGCTCACTGAGGGTGGTGAGATGACCACGTGTAGACAGTGCATCGAAGCTTACCAGGACTACGACCACCACGCGCAGGAGAAGTACGAAGAGTTTGAAAGTGTGCTGCATAAGTACTTACAGTCGGATGAGTACTCAGTGAAGTCATGTCCCGAGGACTGCAAGGTAGGGCCAATAAGTTCCTTTTCCCTTTTCTGCGGCTTTGCGTCTGGTTCCTGTGTTTACTTGACTAGGGTTTTATACGTTTAATCACGTTTGTCTGGCTATCAGAACTTGACTTCCTGCTAGAGTTGGGGATAGCTGGTGGGTTCCTTTCAGTGCCCTTGGACTATCAGGGAAGTCCATCTTTTAAGATACCAAAGCCAAGCTTTTAGTTGCTTCTTCGAGCTATGCGGTTGGCTCAAACTCCCTTACTGCTTGTCGGGAGGATAGCGAGGGGAGCACCGCACACAGGTAGTTAGAAGGGCTGGAGACAGGCATGGAGAAGACGGGTGGACCTGCCTACAACACTCCTCCACTTCTAACATAACTGAAGTTGGCTGACCACAGGAATAAGATAAAGTGTAACTGTTGCTATAGGGGGAAAATAGCTGAACGTCCGCATCTTATGGGTTTTATGGGGGTAGCTGTTGTTTCTCAGAAAGTCTAGAGGCCTGTCCTCTTTAACAGTCCTGTTTTCTCTTAGACATCTGTGTAGTTATTGACCTAGGTGGAAAGCTGTTATTAGCTATCTACCAATCGATTCTCAATGTAATCATACTACTTATGTAATTGCTTTTATTTTGTTTTGTTTTTTTTCTTTGCATACTCTGACGAAATAGTAAAAATGACAAATCTTTGCTTCTATGAGTTAAAATTTGGGGAAATAATTAGTAACTTGTATTATAGTCAGCAAGGACTCTGACCTTGCTAATTAGCAAAGGGGAAGTCTAGGAGAGTTTCTTGGAAATTGGAATATGCTACCCAGGGTAGCTGGCGGTGCTGCTGTCCGAGGTCCTGAAATGGGGCTTGTCCACGGAGGCCTAGGTATTGAAGGCGCTGCAACGACCTTTAGCTGCAAAGACCTGAGGACAGGATCTCCAGAGATGTGAACGTTAGTTTTATAAAGTAATTTCCGGGAGAGCACAAAAAGTTGTGTCGTTTTTCAAATGAAATAGGACACCATAACTTCATCCTTTGCCTACTTCCTCAACCCCATGCGCTCAGAGAGCCTCCTTCTCTTGCTTTCTATGGGGGAGGGAGGTCAAGTGTCATATTGATCAAAGGGTCTGCAATACTTTGAACCAGGGATCTTATTTTAAGACAGATTAAGAGCCACACCTGACAGCTGAGCCAAACTTACACTGACCTTGCTCATGTTTTTTTCTTCTTTCTTTCTTTTTTTTTTTAAGATCAGAAACTTGAACTGGAATGCAAAATCGTCAGTTTATTGCATTAACTGAGATTTCACTTCAGCGGATAAGCCAATATTTAAGTTCTCTATGTATGTTTTAACCACTCCTAGGAAGTAAAATGAGCCTTAGGGACAGAAACTCACAGTGAATGGCTGATGCACGTACTTACTGCATTGCTATTTATCCTGATTGCACTGTCGCATGAAACATAAGGATAAAGAAATGACTGATAGACAATTCTACTGCTAGTAAAAGTGTGGCATAGATTCCAATAATTTTGAGTTAAGAACAAAATGGCAAAAACTTGCATTTCTGTAAGCCCTCATCGGCACGTCTTGAGATTTTAATTTCCTTAGCTCAGGATTTAAGAGGGATTCTGTGTTGTCAAAGGACCACAGCCATTCTCTACCTTAGTGGAAGTGTCCAAACACAAGGAGGGTTTCTTTCTTCCTTCATCTGCATTAATTCTCAGCATGGAGTTTATATCAACAATATAAAGGTCTACTGTAAATATTCTGTGACGTTATGAGGCACTCGAAGATTATATTTATATTGTGTTTATATTTCTGGATACAGTAGGATTTGTTAACACTATAAAACTCTTAGCTCTTTTAAATAATTCCTCTTCACATTGAAAAGTAAACACGATGCCTGTATTTCTCAGTGCAACAGAATTTATTGTTGGAGATGCCTTGATGCCTTGCGTTCATTTCTCAGTGGTAAAGAAGTGGCAAATTACTTTGCCAGTCAGTAGGATATACTAATTTCACAATAGATGCTTTTAGCTTAAGGAATTAGTGCTCTTGGTTTAAGGTAAATGAACCAACTGGTTATAGGTAGAAAATGATATGTGCATATTTCCTTACTTCTGTGAATAATCTTTCTGATTATGAAACAGTCATACATATCTTCATACAAAATAAAAGAGACAAATTAAAGTATTTGTTGATTTTTGTGCTTGTAACTGACCTTTTGAAAGCATTGTCTTATTTTACTGTAATTGCAATCACCAAATGCCTATTGTCAGGAGCTTGATTCAGATTCATGCAAAAAAATCCCCACATCTTATTTTTTTGGCAGTTACAAAGCCAAGGATAGGCTAAAGGGATAGGCTATCTAAAAATGTAAGCTAAAAGTAAACACATTGTGTATCCTTAATTGCTAGCATACTCATATAATACAATTTTAGTTGTTTATAAATATACTTAATATAGATAAGATCTATAGCATCCTGTTAGGATTAGAAATTAGGGGTATTCATATTTTAGGAGCAACACATTGACATTTTTTTAGCTGATATTTAATTTTTTTTTCAATTAAGATGTATTATTTCGTATTCTCCCCCATTGGAAATCCATCCTATAAAATAAGGAGTCATTAAATTAAAATTTTATGTAACATTTTTTAACGAGCTTTTCTGATCACTTATGCTTTTTAAGAAGCCTTAAATCACATCTAATATAGTTATATGAGTTGAAAGTGAACATTACAGGATATACGGGTGACTATACCATGCAGGGAGATGGGGCAATAGGATTACAAATTCCAGGCTAACATGGACTGTTAATTAGTTTATGGTTTGTTTTATTTTGTTTTTCCAATTGTCTTGAATTCATAATAAGTACAGACCAAATACAGCCAATTTACTTGTAAAAATCCTTGCTTTGTAACGTATTAGAAAACTAATCTGTACTCTGGTGTGCTTTTAAACATCGTGATAAATAGTCTCACTTTTTTAAAATAAAAAGCAAATATTTGCATTTATGAAGAAATGCGCACATATATAAATATATAACTTAAAGTTGCCATTTAAGGCCCTTTGATTGTATAAATCAGGCAGCAGGGTTGTGGGTAATTTTCCCTGTAGTTTATGGCAGCATTCAAAACAGCATTTTTAGCATATTCAAGAATCTGACAAATGTACTGAAATCTTCACGTTACAGACAATATAAAAATGACATTTTCTAAGCTCCAATTTACAAATATATGTCATTTTTCATGCTTGACTTTTACAAGATTTTTCTCTTCTTATCTCACTTTTTTTTTAAACTAATTCCTGAGTGTTCTAGAGAATGCATTCTATGAAAATGAGGTTTGAGAGGACATGCACATTTGTGTTGCGTGTGAGCTTTCTTTGCTACTGACATTATTTAACACTTTCAGAAGATACTTGGTGAAAGAACGTAGGTTTGTGACTATATTCTAATATAAGTCATGGCAAAGTCTAAACCCCAGTTATGTCTGTATAAATTCTAGTCTTCATGTCACCAAGCATGCATGGATACTTATTATTTTATTTTTACAATCTAATATTTAAGCTAGTGAACTGCTTGTATTTAGCAGATACAGACTGCAAAACACCACATGAATATTAAGTACTTGAAGCTTCCCTAATACTTCAGAGTTTCTTTTGGGATCTGAACTGCTCACAGTATCATCCAGTTTGAGGTCACTGAGTCTGAATTCTGTGATGTGGACTTTGCATAGAAATGAGGAAACAAAACAGTTCTTGAGAGACTAAAGACATACCTGGGAAGAGGGACCCTCAACTTAAGACCTTGAATTTCCCCCATCAGATTGGCCTGTGGGGATGTCTGTGTGGCATTTTCTTGATTATTAATTGATGTAGGGGGCACAGTTGGAAGTATTATCCCAAGGCAGTTGGGCTTGGGCTGCACAAGGAAGAGAGATGGATTGTGGGTCTGATTGCTAGCCGGTAAGCTGCGCTTTCCCTTGGTCTCTGCTTCAGTTCCTGCTTCCAGGTTCCTTCCTTGAGTTCCTGCTCTGATTTTCTTGACGATGCTCTGAGACACAGTGATGTAATAAACCCTTTATCCCCTCACATTGGATTAGGTCAGTGTTTTATCACAACAGCAGAAATGCAAACCAGATCATCTTTTCATCCTTCTTATTTTGGTGTTATGTCTGTAAGTTCCTAGGGAATTTTATAAAACATAGTTATTTTTGTTTACGTATCTGTGCACGTACCTGAGTGTGTGTATGTACACCATGTGCGTTCAGTATTCCACACGGGCCAGAGGAGGCACTCGATGTCCTGGAACTGGAATCAAGGTCCTCTGCAAACGCAGAAAGTGTTCATAAGAACCCGGCCACTCTCTCCAGCCCTGAACACTGCCTTTATTCCAAGTCTGAACCTTCAGCATTGCTTTGCTGCCCATAGTGACTGTGCACATGTCACTCTCTAGAGGATGGAGAACACGTGTAAGAATAGATCTTCATTTGTATTCTGCTACTTTATTCTTCTCAGTTATGTCTGTAATTGAATGGGTTTTCTGTAGGATCAGGTAGTCTGGCCATGCAGGTGAATAGAGCCACTTTAAAGTCAAAGATACCATCATAATCATTTTATGACTCAGATTTATGGGTTTTTTTCTAGAAATATGTTTGCAGCATGCAGTTGCTGATCTATCACTGGCATTTCCCTCCTTGTAGAAAACACTTCACCATGCGCGTTAATGCGAAATGTCTGCAGTGTTCCAGGCCAAGAGGTGTGTTTTTACTCCAGACTTGTAACTGGGTCAGATTAGCAGCTATATAGGACATAACCTAGATGTTGGTGCATGTTGGTTTTAATCACTTTTGTTGAATGAGGTCGATTTCTGCTTATGCAAGGAGAATTAAAGCAAGGAAATAGGAAACCAAGCAGAGACCAAAACCTCACACCCCTTCATGTGAAAAATCATAATCCACTGTGATTGCCTTTCCTGCTAAACCTAGTCTACAAGACCAAAGTATAAATATCTGTTTCAA